CCAAGCAGGAGATCCTATACCATTTCTGACAGATGAGAGTCCAGTCTCTTCAAAGCTTCCAGTGATGAAGCTCCCACAACTTCCTAAGGCAACATCTGTTCTACTGATTGTTCTGTTAGGAAATTCCTCCTTATTTCCTGAATCTCTCCTTGATCAATTTCCATCCATTATTCCTTGTCTGGTCTTCAGGTGCTTTGGAGAATAGCTTGACCCCGTCCTCTCTGTGGCAGCTCTTCAAGTATTGGAAGACTGCTATCCTGTCTCCCCTGGTCCTTCTCTGCTCTAGACTAGCCAGGCCCAGTTCCTGCAGCTGTTCATCGTATGTTTTAGTCTTCAGTCCCCTCATCATCCTGGTTGCTCTTCTCTACACTTTTGAGTCTCAACATTATTCGATCTATCAGGAAATTTCTTTAGCTGCTTCTTGTTTAGCCTTAAGAGTTGGTTGACCTTCTCTGTGATTGCCGGTCAGGTACTGGGAGACAGCTATCATATGCCATCCCTAATCCTTCTCTTCATACTAGCCTCTTCAGTCTAGGCATACTTTGCTTAACCGTTCCTCATAGGATTTATCCTGCAAACCCTTTCTTTGTTGCTTTTCTCTGCACTCTTTCTAGAGTCTCAATCCATATCCTTTTTTCAGGTAGTTTTGGCAGTCAGGTGGAGATAGCTGACCACAGCTTTCTTCTGGGATATTTTTTTTTTACTTCTCAGGCTTGGTTTTCTTGTGAATCTTCTGTCCACTTATTATAGAACAGGATCACCCACCTTCTCAACCCAGCTTAGCTTTCACATCCAAACACTATTGTGAAAACTCCCAGCGATGCCCTAACGATTGTTTTCATTTTCCAAAGTTAAAAAGAGATGCTCTTTTGTTGTTATTTAGTACAAGTCACTCCCGTAATTTTGGGAAGGGTTAGAAAAAGTTCAGGAAGAAAGATCTGTCCCACCTGTAAAATATCCTGAAGTTTGGAGGAAGATGGAGGAAAAGAACTAAAACCACATTTTTGTTCACAGCCAGTGCAAACTCAAGGCAAGGAGCATTCAGTACAGAGGAAATGACATTTTTAATAAGGTAGCCTGAGAATTTGACATGGATAGGCTTATATTTTCTTTGGCCAGACTCCATCAGGGTTTTTCCAAAACAGACGAGGGAAGGATGGCTCTTCAAACATCTTAATCTCTTAAAGTAATATTTATTAGATATAATATTTATTTACATGTACATTAGCTGAATCAACGGGGAAATGACAATTCAAGCTTTAAGAAGGAGGTTGTCTACAATGAAGGTTTTGCAAGTGCAACTCTGCCGTGGCAGCTTAAATAAAGCAAAAAGAAAGAAAGAAAACACACCATTTTCTACCGTCACTACTTTTGATTTCTGAAAATTCAGAGTTTTTCCAGAGTGCTGAGAATATTTAAACGAAGTTGCTAATCACTTCTGGTTGAAGCCACGACCAGTTAAAATAGATTTTTAAGGTTTGTTTCTTTTTCCTTTTTTAAAGTGCTGTGCTGTTAAAACAATCATCGTTTCCCTATTTTAAAGATCTACAAACACCGCTATTTACTTGCTCCTGCAATGTCACTTCTCCTCTGTTGGGTTTTCCCAGCCCGCTGCTTAGTTCCCTGAGGGACGGGCACGTTTGCTCAGGGGGAACGGCGTGCTCGCATGCAAAGAGCACATGCAAGATTGCAAACACTTGGAGAGAAGGAGCATTTTAGAATAGCGGAAAACACTCCTTGGCAGATTAGAAAGATTCGTTTTGAAGTCTTTAGAGAAATCACCGAGACTTTCAAAGGTGCATTTCGACTCAAGAGGCAGAGAGGGTTCAAAGCCAGCTTCCCAGAAAGTCTAGGTCCGTGATGGCGAACCTATGACACGCATACCAGAGGTGGCACACAAAGCCCTCTCTCTGGGCACTTGCATCGCCAGCTGCTCTTCTGGTCTCCAGTGCACATGTCCCTGCGAGTGCCGGCACGGCAGAAAACGGCTTGAATATGGCCCCAAATAACGGCCAAAAAACAGGCATGTGCACTGGCCAGCTAGTCTTCAAGTTTCTGGCGCTCTGGCACACATACATTCATGCGTGTTCCGATTTGGGCACTCGGTGCCGAAAAGGTTCACCCTCCCTAGTCTAGTTCCCCGGAAGAAGGTCTGCACTGGACCCCGCTGGTAAAAACCCACAGAGCCTCTGCTCCCAGCAGAGACACCCATACCACTTCCGTGCATCACGCTAAAAACAAATACAAATAATAATAATAATTAACTGAGTCCCAAGGGCACGAGAATAATTAATTTTTTTTTTAAACAGCAAAGTGCTTCGGTGATTTATTTTTCCCTCCTCCCCCTACTGAATTCCATAATGCGAATGAACTCAATAGTAACAGAACAATAAAAACATCAATTTCCTGAACTGAATAACAGAAAGAAGAAGAAGAAGAAGAAAAGAAAAACAACGGGAGGGGGGGGATTTGGTTCCTTTAATCTTTCGGCACTTTGAAGCTGTCCTTCTCTTTGCGTATGGCCCCCATGGTCCGGACAGGATCCGTTTCCCGGGCATGATGCTGCACGGTTGATTCTCTGTCCAGACAGAAAAGAAGACTCATGAGGGGAACCTGGCAGTTAGAAGAGGCTTTCAGCCTATTCAAGGACTCTCCCATAGCTTGGCTGCCTCCACGTGAGTTGGACAGATTAATTCCCAGAATCCCCAGTGGGCAGGGGAGACTTCAGCAGTACCTAAGCGAGAGGATGCCTCTTATTCCTTTCTGGCTTGTGTCCAAGGGTCGGCAACCTTAAACACTCCAAGAGCCATTTGGACCCGTTTTCCACCAAAAAGAAAACATTGGGAGCCACAAAATCCTTCCGGAGCCTGACTATTTCCTGAACGGCCACAAAACTAGCATGTGTAGAAAATATTGGATTGCGTAGAAATGAATAGGTTAACACTGAGAATAAAGGACAAAGAGGAATCGGTGTACTTCAGGACTTAGGGGCGATTTTATGATTGGTTAGAAAAGGAATATACGTAAAAAAGAAAAAGATTATAGATTAAACAACCCCGCTGACACGTTATCATATCAAGGGGAGGGAAAGGGAAAAATAGAAAAGTATTAAGATACAACTATACAGTTTAAAAGATGATACAAGTGGAATTATTAGTAGGGAAATAAAAATGGGGAAGAGGATTTTTTTTTTAATGTAAATATGAGACCGGGATCGCTGGAATTTCACCCGGAAAACCCATCAGAGGGAAGAAGAAAATAAGCAAGGGCAACGACGGAAGGAGGGAGAAAGAAAAGGGAAGAGGAAGCAAGGGAGGGGTAGTAAGAGTAGGAGAGAGGGTAAGAAGGAGAATGGAGGAGTGGGGGAGAGGGAGGGGAAGAAGAAAAGAGGAAGGAGGAAAGAAGGAGGTAGAGAAGAGAGGTTGGGAAGAAAGGCGGAGTAGGGTTGTTGCAAAATAAGATGGATGTACAGGGTGGAATGAAAGCGACCCCGATTATGCTTTTTATACAGTATGTTTAAACAGATTGTGATAAATGCTAGAAGATAACAGATAAATATTAAGTGTACTTGTGAGAATGTATATTTGTGAATGTATATGGAAAGAAAAAAATAAATGTTTTTACAAAAAAAAAAACCTAGTATATGTAGTTGAATGAAATGTTCTGTTTTCTTCTCGAAACTTTCCTTTTCTTGGATTTAACCATGGTTGGCCTACCAGGGGTTGAAAAGCTCAATAAATCACGTGCCAGCGGGTGTCACCCATTGGTGGTTGTGACGCATTTTTTGAGCAACAGGGAGTTGCAGCAGAGGGATGAAAGAGCCACGTGCGGTTCCAGAGCCGTGGGTTGCTGACCCCTGCCCCTAGCCCCACAGGACGGCAGAATGCTGTGAGGTACCTGATTCAGCAAATACTTAATTTGCCTTTTATTAATGTAATAGGACAGCCTTTCTCAACCTCAGCAGCTTTTACGATGTGTGGACTTCAACTCCCAGAATCTCCCAGCTGGATGGGGAATTCTGGGAGTTGAAGTCCACACATCTTAAAATTGCTGAGGTTGAGAAACGCTATAATACATGGAAGTCAAATTCTATTTCATTGAGGGCCGCATCAGGGCTGTGTTTGACCTCGGAGGGCTGGGGCCGTGACGTGGCGATGGTGTGGCCGGGGTGGGCATGACACAGGACTCATGTCGGGGGCACCTGTGGTGGCCAAGTGCTAAGGCAGGACTTCTCTCAGACCCTCCCTCTCATTATAATCTCTCTCCTTCCTTCCTTCCTTCCTTCCTTCCTTCCTTCCTTCCTTCCTTCCTTCCTTCCTTCCTTCCCCTTCCCTCCTTTTTCCTTCCTTCCTTCTTTTTCCTTCCTTTCCTCCTTCTTTTTCCTTCCTTCCCTTCCCCCCTTCCTTCTTTCTCCTTCCTTCCTTCTTTTTCCTTCCTTCCCTTCTTTCCTTCCTTCTTTTTCCTTCCTTCCTTTCTTTTTCCTTCCCTTCCCTCCTTCCTTCTTTTTCCTTCCTTCCCTTCCTTTTTCCTTTTTTTCCTTCCTTCCTTCCCTTCCTTCCTTTTTCCTTCCCCTTTCCCCTTCCTTCTTTTTCCTTCCTTGCTCTCTTCTCATCTTTCCTTTTTTCCCCTTTGTCTTTCCTCTTTCCTTTTCTCCTTTCCTGTCCCTTCTTCAAGGCTCAAGTGCAAAAGGAGAAAAAAAATCCCCCCCTTTTTTTAAGTTTGTTTTGCTAGCTCTCTGATCCTTTGCTGCTTCCAGGCTGGCCCCGCAGGCCAGATCTTGAGTTATGACACTCCTGCTCTAATAGAGCAACCCTCCTGCCGCAGGGAAATTACCTCACTCTCATGAACGGGTTGTATGTGAATTCTTCGCCGATGGTGGATGGGATGGTTGCCTCCCCTCCATCGTATTTGGCCTGCAGAAAAAGAAGGGAAGAGCTTGAGAAAAGTCCAACAGGCAGAAGGATCCTTGAAGGACTCACCTGTTGTGCAACTCCATCAGAGATAACCTGCTGCACCACTTTTGGGACTAAGCATTTTTTCCCCTACCCAGCAGAAGGACCGGCTATTTCTGCCAGGGCCCTGAACAAATCATGGAAAACCATGATAAGAAGGTCAGAGAGCTGCGATAGTCAACTGCTACATTCATCATCATCATCATCATCATCATCATCATCATCATCATCATCATCATCATCATCATCTCCTTGGGTGGAGTCTGGGCAATTGAATGGAGCTAGCAGAGGATTTACTGGCCAGATGCCCTCCCTGTTGCCAATGCGGAGTTATATTCAGCAGATATATTCTCATCATGCCAAGAGAGAGAGAAACATCTGCCTCTACCAAGGATCGAACACACAGCCTTCTGACTGTGAGGCGAGAATTCTAGGCTACCACACCACTTTCATCTGCTATATTAATGCATTGGGGAAATTCAAACGGGACTTTCCTGCGGCCAAAGAGAACAAGCTGAAAATTCTTAGGAACCACTCCTATTTCTTTCCCCAGGGAAGGAAAGGGCAAACTCTCTTACCTTTGCCCATGATAGCTTTCGTTGGATGGCAGCATTATTTGGTTCCACATGCCGGGCAAACTTTAAGTTGTTGATGGTATATTCGTGGCCACAATAGACTTTCTAGCCAGGAAAGAAGCAGGAAAAGAGAACATTAGAAGGCACCAAATGGCAGGTCAACCTCACTGGATGCTTCCCAAAACAATTATTTAACAATTGCAAATTAGCAACAGCACTTAGACTTCACAGTGCTTTACAGCCCTCTCTAAGCGGTATGCAGAGTCAGCCTCTTGCCCCCAACAATCTGCGTCCTCATTTTACCCACCTCGCTAAGTGGGTCAGGATCAAACTCCTGGCAGTTGGTAGAATTTGCCTGTAATACTGCATTCTAACCACTGTACCACCACAGTTCTTAGCAATAATAATAGCACTTAGACATATACTGCTTCATAGCGCTTTACAGCCCTCTCTAAGTGTCAGCATCTTGTCCCCAACAATCTTTTACCCCCCTCGGAAGGATGGGAAGCTGAGTCAACCTTGAACCTGGTGAGATTCGAACTGCCAAATTGCAGGCAGCCGGCAGTCAGCAGAGGTAGCCCTGCAGTACCGCACTCTAACTACTACGGCTCAATTAATGACAGTTCCGTTTATATTTGACAATGTTATTTGCCTCAATTGNCAGCCAGCAGAGTTTTAAGACTTGTGGACTTCAACTCCCAGAATTCTCCAGCCAGCAGAGTTTTAAGACTTGTGGACTTCAACTCCCAGAATTCTTCAGCCAGCATAGCTGGGAGAATTCTGGGAGTTGAAATCCACAAGTCTTAAAGTTGCCAACTTTGAAGACCTCTGCCCTAAGGGGTCTTGAAAGCTACTCCAAAGGGAAGCAACCTATACCACCTGCCTCTATTTTATCATTTTTTCCAAGCCTCTTCTGATCCCATTTACCCGCTTGGAAACCGCTGCATCCACCGCTATGGCCTCTCGCGTGGTTTCTTCAATGATCAGGTACATGTAATTATCTTCTAAAATTGAAATCACTTTGACCTTCATACTCCAGGGGATTCAAGGTCTCAGGGAAGCCAAACTGCCCAAAGGAAAACCACATTCATTAAAAGCAATTCCAAACACACACACCCCTTGTCCATTTTAATGGTATTGCATACTTCCACACTCTCTGTAGTTGCAGCAACATGATCTAATGCATCCCAGCTTTTTCTTCACTAAACCTATCCCGCTTTTCCTTTGCTGTTCTTAATATCTGGAAATCCCTTTCAAATTCTTATGTTGGCAGCCCCAAGGACTAGAAACATAGAATACTTTTAGATTTATTTGTTTGTCTTTTAATGACCCCCATAATCCCTTGCGTCGGTGGAACTGAATGGAGCGGAGTTTGCAGCAGATATATTCTCATTCTGCAGAGAGAGAAAGAGAGAGAGAGAGAGGGAGGGAGGGAGGGAGGGAGGGAGGGAGAATCTTTTAGATCCACTGAGCTAACTATTCAATGCAGGGATTGCACAATCCCTTCTTTCAGTTTTACTCACTGAGCAAGCAATATGGGAATGGTTTGTGAAGGGAGTTCAGTAGGGGAGTCCCTAACAATTTTGGCAAAATCTACCAGAAGACCTTGGGATGGAGATGAGGGGGGAGGGGGAGAACCCAGGTGATGCTTTACACAGCAAAAGTGACTATGGCTTTTGTGCCTGCTATTGGGTGAAGGTAGGCTTGTCTTTTTACCCGAATAAAAGGGAAAAAACCCTGACATATATTTGCAGCAGTTTTCCAGCAGAAGAAATCCAGTGGGAAACCACTGCTATGGTTCAGCTGGAGAGGAAAGAAAGAATTACAAGTGAAAGTTGAAGCAGCATCCCACCTTCCCAACACGGGAAGGAACCAGCAGAAACACATTGGACCCAAGGCTTCTGGGGAACCAGCCCCAATGGATGTAAAACTTTAGTAAGACTCCACTTGGAATATTGCATTCCGTGTTGGTCATCACAGATGTTGAGACTTTGGGAAAAGTTCAGAGAAGAACAACAAAGATGATTAATGGCCTGGAGACTAAAACATAGGAAGAACAATTGCAGAATTTGGAGATGGCCAGTCTAGAGAAAAGAAGGACTAGGGTGGACATGATAGAAGCATTCCAATATTTGAGAGGCTGCCAAAAAAAAGAAGAGGGTTCAAATTATTATCCAAGGCATCAGAAGGCAAGACAAACAAACAAACAAACAAAACCAGATGGAAACTAACCAAAGAGAGAAGCAACCTGGCATTAAGGAGAAACTTCCTAACAGTGAGGACAATTAACCAGTGGAATGATTTGTCTTGAACTAGGAGGGATTTCAAATGAAACCTTTGTAAGATCACATCTGGAATACTGCATTCAGTTTTGGTCACCATACTACAAAAAAGATGTTGAGACTTTGGAAAAGGTTCAGAGAAGAGCAGCTAAGATGATCAAAGGCCTGGCGACTAAAACATAGGAAGAACATCTGCAGGATTTGGGTTTGGTTAGTCTAAAGAAAAAAAGAATTAGTGGTGACAGGATAGCAGTATTCTAGTACTTGAGGGNTATTCTATTCTATATCCTATAGTCTTTTCTATTCTATTGAAAGAAAATCCTCAGGGAACACTCTCCCCTTGGACTTGACGGGAGGCCGCAGTTGTTTCGTTGTTGCCTCACAAATTCAGCCCCCCTTGAACCTGAAGAGGGAGAAAAAGCTGTTCTTTTCTCCCAAAGGACCAGCGCCAGAGCCAGGCGGAACTCTTACCAATGGTGATGGGTAGTCAGAATGGCTTTTAGAACGATGTCTTCTCTTCGGATGATTTCTAGGAGCTAATTGGGGAGGGGGAGGGGGGAACAGCCACAAAGAACATAGTGAGCATAGATTTATTCCAAAAGACTTTAAAAAAAAAAAAAGTCCTTTAATTTGTTATCTATGAGCCACGGTGGCACAATAGTTAGAATGCCGTACACAAAGTCTTCAACTTTCAACTGCTCATTTAGTGCAGGGATGGCGAATCTTTCCAGCACTGAGTGGCCAAACTGGAACATACGTGCATGTGTGTCCATGTGCACATGCCGGAGTGCCAGAAATCTGAAGACCAGCTGGCTGCCGTGCACATGCTGTTTTTCTGGGCTGAAAAACAGCCAGAAAGCGGCCAGAAAATATCCCGGAAAATGTCCCGAGAAACAGCCTGGTTTTTTGGAACCATTTTCAGGCTGTTTTCCGGCACTTCAGTGCCTGCGAAGATCAGCTGGCCGGCACACATGTGCACTGGAAACCAGAGGAACAGCTGATGACTGCGCTCTGCTGCCACCTCTGGCACATGGGCCATAGGTTCTCCATCATGGATTTAGTGACTGTTCAAAGTTACAACAACCTGCCAACCTTTTCAACTCTCCACCCGCCCCCCAACTCCCCAATGCCCTAAGGCAGGGGTCCCTCAACTTGGCAACTTTAAGACTTGTGGACTTCAACGCCCAGAATTCTCCAGCCAGCATAATTTATTCTCTTGTAATCCCTTCCTCTGCAATCTCTCCACTTAGATCGGAGGTCTTCAAACTTCGCAATTTTAAGACTTGTGGACTTCAATGCCCAAAATTCTCCAGCCAGCAGAGCTTTAAGACTTGTGGACTTCAACTCCTAGAATCCTACAGCTAGCAGAGCTTTGTGGACTTCAACTCCCAGAATCCTACAGCCAGCAGAGTTTTAAGACTTGTGGACTTCAACTCCCAGAATCCTCCAGCCAGCATAATTTACTCTCTTGTAATCCCTTCCTCTGCAACCTCTCCACTTAGATCGGAGGTCTCCAAACTTGGCAACTTGAAGACTTGTGGACTTCAACTCCCAGAATTCTCCAGCCAGCATAACTTATTCTCTTGTAATCCCTTCCTCTGCAACCTCTCCACTTAGATCGGAGGTCTCCAAACTTGGCAACTTGAAGACTTGTGGACTTCAACTCCCAGAATTCTCCAGCCAGCATAACTTATTCTCTTGTAATCCCTTCCTCTGCAACCTCTCCACTTAGATCGGAGGTCTACAAACTTGGCAACTTGAAGACTTGTGGACTTCAACTCCCAGAATTCTCCAGCCAGCATAACTTATTCTCTTGTAATCCCTTCCTCTGCAACCTCTCCACTTAGATCGGAGGTCTACAAACTTGGCAACTTGAAGACTTGTGGACTTCAACTCCCAGAATTCTCCAGCCAGCATAATTTATTCTCTTGTAATCCCTTCCTCTGCAACCTCTCCACTTAGATCGAAAGGTCTCCAAACTTGGCAACTTGAAGGCTTGTGGACTTCAACTCCCAGAATTCTCCAGCCAGCATAATTTATTCTCTTGTAATCCCTTCCTCTGCAATCTCTCCACTTAGCAATAGCAGTTAGACTTATATACCGCTTCATAGGCCTTTCAGGCCTCTCTAAGCGGTTTACAGAGAGTCAGCATATTGCCCCCAACAATCTGGGTCCTCATTTTTCCCTCCTTGGAAGGATGGAAGGTTGAGTCAACCCTGAGCCGGTGAGATTTGAACCGCTGACCTGCTGATCTAGCAGTAGNCTACTGCTAGATCAGCAGGTCAGCGGTTCAAATCTCATCGGATCAGGGTTGACTCAACCTTCCATCCTTCCAAGGAGGGAAAAATGAGGACCCAGATTGTTGGGGGCAATATGCTGACTCTCTGTAAACCGCTTAGAGAGGCCTGAAAGGCCTATGAAGCGGTATATAAGTCTACTGCTATTGCTATATTGCTATTACTTTGAGATGGGCGGACTTCAACTCCCAGCATTCCTCAGCCGAGGCACGGGGAAGGGGCATCCTGGGAGTTGAAGTCCGCCTATCTTAAAGTGGCCAAACAGCGCTCTGCAGAGTCAGGTGCCAGTTTAAATCCCACCAACAGCCACCTTGGGAGGCCAAGATGTCCCTCCCCTCCACGCCCCCCCCCCTTCCAGGAAGCTTTGTTTGACCCGCGGCCCTTCCCCGGAGCTCCGCTCCCCCCCCGCCCTCCCCTTGCCTGGCGAGCCGCCGCAGCCAACGAAAACCCCCGCCTTCCGGGAGGCGGGATGGAACCGCCCCCGCTCCTGCCTCTGGGCATGCGCGCTCTTCTCCATAGAAAGGGGAGGGAGAGACAACGGCTCGTAAGAGCCGCGGGCGGGGACGGCAAACTAGAAAGATTGTGAAGCGCTACTATGAGGTTTCCTGCTTGAGCGGGGGGGTTTCCTGCCGGGGGGGGGAACGGGGACTAGAAGACCTTCAAGGTCCCTTCCAACTCTTGTTATTCTATTTTGTTTTTCTCTTCTCTTCTGTTCTTTCTTCTTTCCTTTTTTTCTCTTCTATTCTCTCTTCTCTTGTCTATTCTATTGTTTTGTTTTTCTCTTCTGTTCTTTATTCTAGTTTTTATATTCTATTCTATTCTTTAATTTTTCTATTCTCTTATGTTATTCTATTCTATTTTCTCTTCTCTTCTGTATTCTAAACTCTCTTCTCTCTTCTATTCTGTATTCTATTCTAATCTTGTTTTTCTCTTCAGTTCTCCTACTCTATTCTATTTTCTATTCTATTCTCTCTTCTCTTGTCTATTCTATTCTAGTTTTTCTATTCTTTATTCTAGTTTTTCTATTCTATTCTTTGGTTTTTCTATTCTCTTATGTTCTTCTATTCTCTTCTATATTCTATTCTATTCTCTTTTATATTCTCTCCTATTCTGTATTCTATTCTAATCTTTTTTCTCTCTGTTCTCTTATTCTATTCTATTTTCTATTCTATTATTTTCTTTTTTTTCTCCTGTTCTTCTATTCTATTTTCTATTCTTTTTTTCTCTTCTGTTCTCCTATTATTTTCTATTTTATTTTTTTCTCTTCTGGTCTTCTATTCTATTTTCTATTCTATTCTCTCTTCTATATTCTCTCCTATTCTGTATTCTATTCTAATCTTTTTTCTCTTCTGTTCTCTTATTCTATTTTCTATTCGATTCTTTTGTTTTTTCTCTTCTGTTCTCCTATTCTATTTTCTATTCTATTCTTTTTTCTCTTCTGTTCTCCTATTCTATTTTCTATTTTATTTTTTTCTCTTTTGGTCTCCTATTCTATTTTCTATTCTCTTCTATATTCTATATTCTATATTCTCTTCTATTCTTTTGCTTTTCTCTTCTCTTCTGTTCTCCTATTCTCTTCTATTTCCTATTCTCTTCTATTCTATTCTCTATTCTATTCCTATTCTAACCTGAAAAGTCCCTTTCAACTCTTGCTATTCTGTTCTGTTTTGTCTCAGTCAATTAGTCCTTTGCTGCTGCCGTTTCTGTGGGAAGTGACTGGGCTGCCCTCTGGCCTTCATATCTGGGTCACCGCATCACATCCCAATTTGGGGAAAGCACCCCTGCTTGTCCAGAGTGCTTGACTTGCTGAAAACATCTTTGATTTTCAACTATAAAAGAAATAATTGACAACACTCATCCACCCTCTTGTTTTCTAGCAGTCCAAACTTTGTTGCGTAGGGTGTCCGGCTTGAGCAGGGGGTTGGACTAGAAGACCTCCAAGGTCCCTTCCAACTCTTTTATTCTAGGGGTAACCACTGTGATATTCACTGATGGTTTTCCACCCCAAAGTAAACTAGTAGGCATTCTACTGAGGTGTTGGAAAACAGCCAAAATTTGCCCTCTGTAAAAAAAAGAAAAGAGGAGATGTGGCTTCATGAGAGCCTAGAGCTGGAAGGGACATTGGTAGTCTTCTAATCCAATGTCCTGCCCAAAGCAGGAAACCTTATATCATCCTGACCAAATGCTTGTCCACTCTCTTCTTAAAAACTTCCCATGTCAGAGCATCCACAAGGCTGTTCCACTGATGAATTAATAGATTAACTGCTTAACAGAGTGGGAAGGGACCTTGTAGATCATCTAGTCCAGTGGTCTCCAAAACCTTGGCAACTTTAAGACCTGTGGACTTCAACTCCCAGAGTTCCTCAGCCAGCTTTCCCAGGAACTCTGGGAGTTGAGGTCCACAGGTCTTAAAGTTGCCAAGGTTGGAGACCACTGATCTAGTCCAACTCTCCCCTCACCCAAGCAGGAGATCCTATACCATTTCTGACAGATGAGAGTCCAGTCTCTTCAAAGCTTCCAGTGATGAAGCTCCCACAACTTCCTAAGGCAACATCTGTTCTACTGATTGTTCTGTTAGGAAATTCCTCCTTATTTCCTGAATCTCTCCTTGATCAATTTCCATCCATTATTCCTTGTCTGGTCTTCAGGTGCTTTGGAGAATAGCTTGACCCCGTCCTCTCTGTGGCAGCNTCAGTAGGCCAAAAATGCTGTATTCAGTGTATAAGATGCACCCTGATTTTCATCCTCTTTTGGGGGGGAAGGTGCGCCTTATACTCTGAAAAATACGGTAGTTAGAGTTGGTTTTGCTTTCAATCTGTGCCGATACGATGTACTCAATGAAGTTTTGCACTCAGAGATTGGATCGTCTCAACGGTGCTTGCTAGCTTGCTTGGGTTCGTCAGTTGGAACCTTGGCAACCACATTCCTCCCCAGGACCTGGGTGGCGGCAACCAAGGGCACCCATGACCAGTTTCCACACCTACCGAGTGTCTTGGATCACCTAGTTTGGTTATTTTAAAATTCTTCTTGTGAAAAACAAACACAGCTTTTCGCTTGCTGCAAAACAAAACCCCACCGTCCTGTTTTAATTTTGGGCTCAATTGTGGTCGTAACTTGAAGACAACCTGTAAAGCAGGGGTCTCAAACTCAAGGCCCGTGGGCCAGATCCGGTCCGCAATGTGGTTGGATCTGGCCCGCAGGGCCATCCTGGAAAATGTAAGGGCCTGGCCCATGTCACTTCATCCCGGTGTAACTGCATCACTTCGGCCCAGTCCACCCAATGCAAAGAGGAAACATCGGGCCAGTACGGCCCGGTCTACCCAGTCCAAGAGGAAACATGCCAGCAGTTTGGCGACTGGTGTCATGTTGGCCACACACCCCGAGTCAGCCACGCCCCACACTCCCCCTGAGGTCAACCACACCCCTGTTACGTGGCTATAAAGGGTCAGCATAACCACCAGCCCCGGGAGAGGCACACGCCGTCAAGCCTGAATAGGATGCATGTTTCAGAAAGGGCCCGGCCAATCTATCCTTCCCCTCCCCGCCACCATTGTTGGTGCTTTTTTACCTGAAAGGTCGTAAGGTGAGAGACTTTCTGGGTGAGGGCTCCAACCCTGCTATCTCCCCCGTACACTCGTAACCCCGGCTCCATCTTTGCAAGTTTCTCGTTGCCACCAGCGTGGTCCCTAGAAGGTAAAATTGTCAGACTTTGGAGGCGGTGCAAACCCGGGAAGAAGCATCCGCCGAAAACGCACATCCAACTCCATGGCCTTTCGGTCCGCGCTCTCGGCAAAAGAAAAGTCCTATTATAATGAATAAGCCACCACTGGAAACAGTTTCTGAACTTCACGCTTGATGTGGAAAAGAATGAAACTTTGACTTTGGGTTCTACGGATTAGATTGACAGGATCAGGGTTTGACTGATCCCCCGGCCTGCTCTCCAGTTGCCAGACAGATCTTTATAGAAATGGCTGGTTCATGTTATTATGGAAAAGCAAAAAGCTGTGATTGGTTGGTAATACCTTATGCTACTCTAAATAGAGAGAGTCAGAAGTCAATACTTCTTTTCCCCTCTATCTTTCCTCCCTTTGCGACCCTTTTCCTTCCCCCCTCATTGCCCTCTTATTTACTTTTGTATTTCGTATTTTATAATACTTTATAACCTAATAAAAATGTGAACCATCGAGCCACCATTGGCGGGTTTTAAAATATAACAATATAAATATAAATATAAATATAAATATAAATATAAATATAAATATAAATATAAATATAAATATAAATATAAATATAAATATAAATATAAATATTATAAATATAAATATATAAATATAAATATATAAATATAAATAATATAAAACATCTAATATATAATATAAAATATAAAATACATAATATAAACATAAATAATATAAATATAAATAAATATAAATATATAAACATTTTATGTGTAGTAAAAGGAAGGATATGTAAAAGGATATTTAGAATTTGATTGTCATGAAAACAACATATTGAACTATTGAACAAGATAATAATGAAAGATCTTCATAATAATAGTGTATTATTTTTATTAGAATTATAGAACTTGTCAAATGTAACTTAAGATGAACATTGCTTTCTTTGTTTTAAAATGTGATAGAAAGGGGATATTTTTAAAATATAACAGTGGCATAAAGTAAAAATTAGAGGGGGGAAATGGAAGATTATAATTCAATATAAATCTGTGTATTACCGTTAGAATTATGTAAGTCTGTTAAACATAACAAATATGATTATTGGTATTCTATATGTAGCAAAAGGAGTGATATCAAGGATATGGAGATTGGCATAAAAAACAATATACTGAAATGTGGAATAATTAAGATTATAATTCATCAAAATATGTGCATTACTACTAAAAGTCTATAAGACTATTCATTGGGTTAAATATGAAGAGTATTGTTTTATTTGTACTAAAATGTAACTCTGGTTCACCTAATGATACGCTTGTAGAAAAATGACAAATGAAACATTTTTTAAAAAGTGGCAAACGCTGTTTTACTTCTTTTTCAAACCAACAAACTCCTCTCAATCCCCTGAGGAAGATCTGTTGCTTTGCTGTGAAGTGCAGCAGCAGGGCAGAGTTTGGGAACCACAGGGGGCTTATAGAATTCTCCCAAATGTCATTTCAAAAGTGGTAAAGCTCAAACTCCCACCGACGGCCACAGCTTTCCGCAATTTGCTGTAGACCCTTCGCCACAGCTCACTTGCCACAACTGGCTTGCCACGGGCACCTCCTTGCCCACGGGACAAGAGTTACATTAATATGGAAGAAATGGTGGAATGGAATCATTGAAGAAAAGAGGCAGGAGGAGGGACGGAATGAAATGTCATTGGCAAAAATTAAAAGGATTTTTAACTTTATTTTAAAGAATTAAATTGAATTGTTAAATTGTCCGGCAGTGTATTGACCCGGTCCATTCCACGAAGGCAAACTCAGTGAATAGTTAATTTCAAAAGAACTCTGTATTTCTTTCCTCCCTGGAAAAGCCTTCCACTTTGGAAAATCAACTACTTGTCTGAGACGTCGGGATGACAGCAATAACTGAAATGGGATGACAGCTGCAGCTGCAGATCTAACCTGAATCAGCAGCCCAGGAGAAGAAACTGGACATTAAGTGTTTTTTATCAGGGCAACCTCGTCTACTCAAATATGGGACGGAGCATACTGCTTCCACTTTCGGTAGACCAGGTTGCCCTGATAAAAAACACTTAATCTCTCCCCTGGTATAGCCGACAAAGCCAGAAGAGCCTATGGCTTAGAGGTTAATACATCTACCTAATATGCAAGCAGCCCGGGTTCGAATCCCAGAAGGGTATAGCTAGCTGACGAGAGCTAAATAGCTTCAAATAGAGCTATACTAGTCTCCCTTTATTTCTCTGTCGATAAAAATAAATTTAATAGAAAAATAGTTTGTCACAAAAGCGATTGCCCATGAAGGCTCCAGGATTGGGGCTGAAAGGCAAAAGCGGAAGCAGTATGCAGTATCCCATATTTGGGTAGACCAGGTTGCCCTGATTAAAAAAAAAACCACTTAATCTCTCCCCTGGTATAGCTGACAAAGTGAGGATAGCCTGTGGCTTAGAGTTTAATACATCCATGTAATATGTAAATAGCTCGGGTTCGAATCCCAGAAGGGTATGGCTAGCTGACGAGAGCTAAATAGCTTCAAATAGATCTATACTAGTCTCCTTTTATTTCTTTGTCGATAAATATAAATTTAATACAAAACTGGACAGTACTCTTTGCACGGGAAAAACCCTGGTTCACCAAAAAAATAGCTGTCCCCTCGGTGCCCCTTGCTACTCGGGTCCAAAACCTTTTAAGCCACGAAATTAAAAAAAAGGATTACCAGTGGTGATGTGTAGTAAGCACAGTGGTCAGTTTTACTCCATGCTTCTTGGCTGCATCCAGAACCTAGTAAAAACAGTGGAACGTGGAAATGTTGTTATTATTACCACTACTCTTTACAAAACGTTGCAAATGTCCATTCTTCTTGAGGGCAAACAAAGACATGGACTAACCAATCAATCAGTGAAGATAGAAAATATCTCAAGAGGTGCCAAAAAAATCCTACACTCAAACAAAAGACTGAATTTTTTACTGAAATGTCTCTAGAAACCAAGATTTGGCACTCATTAAACGTAACCATCAGGAAAGACAACCATTATTTTCAAATAAGTAGCATACTACTAAAAGAGTTACTATTATTACTGAATATACTACTGGAGAAAGGGGGTGATATTTAGAGACTTGATGGAATTTGACAGTCTTGTAATATGTGATTCAGAATACCTGCAGGATCTTATTTATAAATTGCTGTTGAAGAAGGAAACCAAAGAAAGATTTCAGGATAAAGTGGACGCCCATCTGAAATGATTCCTTTTGACTCAGGTTCTCAAAACAGCTGAGCCAAATTTGCAGCACCTCCTTCCACCAATCTCAAAGGAACGAGGGAAGAAACGACAACCCACCAATCCAAATAATGCATCCAGGCCTGAATCCTAGCACTGTTTTCCCGAAAATAAGACCCAGTCTTTTTTTTTGTCTTCTCAACTTTACTTTTTTAACAAACAACAGTTTTTATTAGACATTTTACCTTTAAAAACAGAAAGAAAAACACAACAAAAAAAGAAAAGAAAAAACAAGACAGACATAACAATATAAAGTAATTATACAGCCTTCTGTATCGTTATTCATGTTTAGCCTTTTTAGTTCTCCATTCTCCATTGCCTTCCTATTGGTTTTACCTTCTCTAATAATGTAATAACAGTAATACTAACACTTGCAATAATATTAATTCTTCATATCGCCATTATATTTACATTGTAGTCGATACTTTAAGTTTGATAACTTTGGTTAAATTTATCCAATACTAGTTTAGGAAAACACAAAGAAAGACTTCTATTTCCTATTTTGGCTTCTGTTTTCTAGCCACTTATGAATTCTATTCCATATTTTATAGAAATCTCTGCACATTCAAGTACTTTTCTAATTATTGTTTCGTCTGCGGATGTATTGATTTGTTTCCAGTTTTGTACAAAAGCCATCTTAGCTGCAGTTAGTCGCCCTGAGTCTCTCGGGAATAGGGCGGCATACAAACCTAATAAAATAAAATAAAATAAAACCAGTGAGTATGTGTAGTGTTATGTATTGAAATTGTTTGTCTGTTTTCGAAGGCCTGGTCTTATTTTCTTTTCGCCCCCAAAATAAGCACCAGGTCTTATTTTTGGGGAATGCCTTGCCTGCTTACCTTAGGAACATTGCAGCCAGGCCTCCCGTGCCCTGAAACCTGCCACTCCACGGCCTGACTTCTGCGGCCACTGGGGGCCAGACACCATGTGGCTCATTGCGCTGATGTAGCCACTTGTGGCAGGACTCTGCATGTGCGTATTGTGCTGTTATGTGTGCAAGCGACGGCACCAGAGCACCGAACCTCACAGCATCAAGCTGCGAGGGACAGCAATGATGTAATGAACAATGCGCCATGTGGCATCCGGCCATGAACATCCCCAAGAGGCTACTGAAGAAGTTGGGTCAATGGCATGACAGGTGTCAGGGCATGGGAGACCTGGCTATGGTGGTCCTAAGGTAAGCGGGTATGGGGGTGTGTGGGGCAGCTCCATCCCCCCCCCAGCTTGATTTTTACGCCTCCTCACCCCAACTAGTACAACCAGGCAGTGGGTGGAGCTTAATTAGGGCTTATTTTTGGATAGGGCTTATATTAGGGCAAGCATGAAGATCAGGCTAGGGCTGGTTTTCGGGGTAGGTCGTATTTTTGGGGACACACACAGTCCAAACTCTTGCTCTCCAGAAGATAGGATGCTTGTCTCTGCTAATGGATGCCCCGGAGCCCCGGAGGAAAGTGAGGTGATCTAGAAGAAAATACCTTTTGGGGCTGCACGGGGTCAACGATGGCTGCTTCCTTGGTCTCCTCATCCACAAGGAGGTACATGTAGTTGTCTGTGAGGGCTGGGAGGATTTCCACCTTCATGTTGGCCTGCGAGATGATCTGAGGAGGCCGCCGCTCAAATTCTGGATGGGCAAAGTTGACTTGGAACGTGGAAAAACCTTTGGAAGACGAGAAACCAAGTATAAGTATAATCTTTATTTTTCATTGTACTTAAATAACAATGAAATTGGTTAACTTTTCCAAGTTAACTTTTTCCACAATAGAAGAAAGCCTTTACCATTTAGCAGAGCTGGAAGGGACCTTGCAGGTCTTCCAAGCCAAACCCCTGCTCAGACAGGAAGTCCTATACCCAGGATGGCTTCCGCTACTGGTTTGGACGAACTGGTCCAAACTGACTGAATATCACCTCTGTATCCACCCCACTTTTGCTCCAAAGGGAAGATGGAAAAACAGTAAGAACCAAGAGTTGCCTGGATTGGCTAACAGCTGATGTCTTTTAGGACAGGGTGCTCCCTCCTTGGCAACTTTAAGCCTGGAGGACTTCAACTCCCAGAATTTGTTAGCTTTAAGCTTTGTCCTAAAGCTTTGCAGGCCTAAAGCTTTGCTGGCTGGGGAATTCTGGGAGTTGAAGTCCTCCAGGCTTAAAGTTGCCAAGGTTGGGGGCCCCTGTTTTAGAAAGCAAAGTTCTTCCTTCATAGAAGTTTGGCCACCATCGACTATTAGATGTGTAATGCAGAACCCCACAGAGACGATCCCCAGGGCTGCCCGTGACTGCTACAAGCCTTTGTTGGGCGTCCAGAAACCCCCACATAACCACAACACCCACCTGCAAACTTTTAATGGGATAGGAAAAAGAAAGAGATTAATAAGCACCCAGGGAGAACTCCTGCTAGCTAGATGATTAATCGCTCAGTATCGTATCACGCCAGACCAGAAGCTGCTCTGTGGACTAGAGATAGCAGCCGGGCGTGCCTGGAGATGCAGAGGCAGGATCTCCAGGGCAGGATTTCTTCAGGGGATCACCCCCACTTCAGGGGTGGGTTGCTACTAGCATTACTGCCTGTTCAGTACGCAAATGAGCATTTATACTGCAAATGCGCAGACGTTAGAAAAGAGGGGGAAATTACATTTTGGCAATGTAGATTGTTCTGCGCATGTGCAGAACCAAAAAACAAGATGGCGACGCCAACAATAGAACAGGTTCAGGTGCGTGGGCGGCACTACCTACTCAGCCGAACAGGGCTGAACCGATAGGAACCCACCTCTGCCCCACTTGGAAGATCAGACCAGGAAGCTGACTCCAGAGATTGTCTAAAAGTACAGAACCCTTCAAGTCTGACAGGGTTAAACTTATTTGGAAGATGTGGGAGGTTCATACTGGAAACTTTCAAGATGTTCTGAGCGAACTAATTGCCTCCTGCAAACTCCACTCCCCTTTCGCTCTTTTATTTCGTCGGGGGGGGGGGGGAGGCGGCATTCATCGTCCACCTGTGGCCTTACTCCCAAGTCGACCTCTGTTCTTTAGCTGTTCCCTTCCTCTGGCCATTCTGCGCATGCGCACACTGAGAACAGGCTCCAGCTGCTCTTCTGCCTCACTGATGTCTGACTCTGAAGGCAGCTGATAACTGCCAGACGGCTCTGGCCCCCTTCTCTGCCTCTGACACAGAGCCCTTATCAGAGCCTCCCCCAGACTCCAGGACTGAGCCATTTTCCTCCCCAACCTCCTCACTGTCCGAATCTGCCACCAGCTCCACTGGTGGGCCACAACACAAGAAAAGATTGGACTGCCATTTGTCAGAAATGGTGTAGGGTCTCCTGCTTGAGCTAGATGACCCTACAAGGTCGCTTCCAATTCTTCCAACTCCCTAAATGATCTACAAGGTCCTTTCCAGCTCTGTTAATCTGTAAACCTCCCCTCCTTCTTTTTATACTCCAGGTGAATTAGGGAAGTGTCTGCTTTCAAATATTATCTCAAAATGCTAAGAGTTAAAAAATGTCTCACTCCTTCTGCCTGACTCTCTACATAGCCCCAACCTCCATGTCCCCTCAAGAATCAGGGAGTAAATTCCTTTTCCTTGAGGCCAAAGACTCCAGTGTCCTGCAATAAAAGTCAGGGATCAGGAATTATCAAAAGCAGAATTAAAACCCAGAAGAAAACAAAAAGTGTTAATAAAATATTACAATGCATGGGGATGGATAGATTAACGCTCAAAGTAAAGAAGAAGGAAGAAACAATATTTTTTTAACATTTTACCAATGATTAGTATACAGAAACAGAAGTTAGAAATTCAAAAGTTTAAGAGAATGATTAAATAGGCAATGAAGGGATTTTGTATGGAGAAGCAAATATTATTGTGTGATCATTATCAAGGCTATGAATATTGTTATTATTACCATTATTTTTCAAAACTAACTGCACTCAGACAACACACTGTTCATGTAGATATTGAGTTTTTATGCTTACTAAAGAAAAACATATAAATAAAATAAAAAAAACAACCCAGAAGAAAAACGAAGTTCCTTGTAAGTAAACAAGCAAGCATTCACAATCCCAGCTACCAGGAAAGGAACTTAGAAGTATTTTTTTATTTTTTATGTTTTTTTATTTTATTTATATGACTTTCCATTTCCAGCAAACAGTATGTTCTGGGTACAGTTATTTAAACAGTCACAATCCACATATTTGTTATTTTATTTGTCACAATAATATTAATAATGTAACTATCAATATAATTAGAATAATACATAACATCTTCATGGTCAAATTCTCTCCATGTTAACATTTCTTTCCTCTTTTTTATATCTCCTCTATTCTAATATCTGTTTCTATTGTCTAACCATTGATAAAATGCGTCCCACATCAAAAAATATTGGGTTTCTTCTTTATCCTTAATAGTAAGTGTTAACCTATCCATTTCTGCGCATTCTAGTATTTTCTTAATTGCATCCTGATGGAATCTCATCGTTTTTCCATTGTTGCGCAAATACAATTCTGGCTGCAGTTAGTATATGTAAAACCAGATATATATCTTTTTATTATATTTTTTCTGGAAGGATGCCCAACAAAAATATTTCAGGTTTAAAATATAATTGCTATATATGTATACTTTTTTCTTTAAAAAAAAGATATATGTTAAAATTAAAGATGCTTATTGAAATGAAATTATAAATACCATCAACATTAAAATGGAGCCAGCTCAGAGGCTGAAATACATCAAGTAAATGAGATGAAGAACGTGGAAGAGAGGAGAGAGGTAAAGGGAAGAAGAGAGGGTTAGGAGGGGGGAGAGGAGGAGGGAAAGAAGGAGTGGAAAGGGGAGATGGAGAGAGGAAGGGGAAGTAGAGAAGGATGACAGAGGGAAGAAAGGAGGTAGGGAGGAGGAGGGGAGAGGGAGAAGAAAATGATGGATAGGTACAAACAGGGTGTATGGAGAGTAGAAGACCATTAATCGTTCTTGGGGGTTGATGGTAAGACAAACTGATGTAAATATTTAATAATACAAAATAATGTTGGTNCTTCCTCCCTTTCCTTCCCTTCCTTCTTTTCCTTCCTTCCTTTCCTCCCTTCCTCCCTTTCCTTCCCTTCCTTCTTTTCCTTCCTTCCTTCCTTCCTTCCTTCCTTCCTTCCTTCCTTCCTTCCTACCTTTCCTTCCTTCCTTCCTCTCACCCACCCACCCATCCCACTTAGCACTTAGACTTATATACCACTTCCCTGTGTTTTTACCAATTGCAGTCAGCCAGCAGTCAGTAGAAGTAGCCTACAATACTGCACTCTAACCACTGCGCCACCGTGGCACATAATAACAATAACATATTACGTACAACATATTATATATAATATTATATATAACACACAATATTATAATGGCAATAATAATCTGTTTAGAAAGCTCTGGTTATGGAGCCTACCTGTAAACACCGCAGGTGGTTCTGAGCTGTTAGGCTTTGTCACAAAATAGCAGATGTGTCCAGAGGTGTGGCAGGGAGTTGAGAGGCATTTCACGTTGAGGGAGCCCACCTGAGGAGGGGAGGAAATCTTCTGGTTACTGACAGGGAGGCCTCGACACCATTTCTGACTCTGATATAGCTCGGCTGACAGAGCAGAAGTACAAAGAAGCAGAGCACCAAACAGGAGGTGCTGCAAATTTGGTTGCACCAATCGGTCCCATTTCTGGAGCTGGATGCACATTTGCCAGCCTTTGTTGAGGGATTTTCTGTTGCAGAAAACTTTTCTCTAGGCCAAGGGTGTCAAACTCAAGGGCCGCAGAGTCTTCCATCTGGCCCGCAGTCACCCTGGAAACAGTGAAGGGCCGGCCAGGGGTGCCTCTGCCAGCAAAAGCGGAACTTGGGAGGGCTGCACACGGCTCTTGTGAGCTCTGTTTTAGGCTGCAATGGACTCTTGCAGCCCTCTGCCAGCAAAAATGGAGCTTGGGGGGGGGGGCGCTCGGTTTTCGCTGGCAGAAGACTGCAGGAGGCCATCGCAGCCGAAAACGGAGCTTGTAAGGGCCACACACTCCCCCCTGCCGAGGTCAGTTTTCACTGGCAGAGAGTTTCAGGAAGCCATCACAGCCGAAAACAGAGCTCAGGAGCCCGTTTTCTCTGGGAGAGGGCTTGGGCCAGAGGCGCCCACAACATGAGTGCCATCAAGCTGGCCATGCCCTCTGCCCCCACCCCCAGGTCAAACACAACTCTGATGCGGCCCTCCACAAAATCAAGTTTGACACCCCTGCTTTAGGCAGAGAGGTAAGGAAGTGCTTGTTTAACTGAAGAATGAATGTGGCCAGAGGCCTTGGTAGCTCCGGGCAAAGAACGAGGCCAACTTTTTTACCAATTTGCGATCACAACTGTGCCCAAAATTTATGTTGTGAGACATTGGTTAAGTGAGTTTTGACTCATTTTACGACCTATCTGGCCACAGTTGAGTGAATCACTCCAGTTGTCAAGTTAGTGACCGCAGTTAAGTGAATCTGCCTTCCTCCTTGATTTTGCTTGTCAGAAGGTCACCAAAGGGGATCCCACAACTGTCATAAATATGAGTCAGTTGCCAAACTGACCTGGATTTTGATCACGTGACCAGAGGGATGCTGAAACGGTCAGAAGTGTGAAAATTGGTCCTAAGTCGTTTTTTTCAGTGCCGTTGTAACTTTGAATGGCCACT